TCCGTAGTGAGGTCTTGTTTTTATCAGCTTCGCCACCTTACTCACCTCCGACGAATCCTGAAACGGAGGCATTTGGAGTCAGTCATTCAAGCCTTCATTACCTCTCGCCTGGACTATGCAAACGCCCTCCTTGTTGGTGTTCCGGTCTCTGCCCTGAATCGGCTGCAGGTTGTTCAGAACACTGCTGCCAGGTTCTTGACGGGTACACACCGACGTAGCCACATTACCCCTGTCCTGTGAAATCTTCACTGGCTCCCTGTCATTTTCAGAGTGCAGTTTAAGTTATTGACTTTTGTTTTTAAAGCACTCAATGACCTCGCACCTCCCTACCTCTCTGCCCTTCTCACTCCATATGTGCCCACCTGCATGTTGAGGTCGGCTGACCTTTTGCTGCTGTACACGCCGCGGATGAGACTTAAAGCAGGGGTCTTAGCACACCTTGGTTGTTGCTTGGCTTCCTGGGGTTGGAGGCTAGGAGGGGGATCTGGCCGTCTGGTTTGGGTCTGGGGTGGTGGGTTACTTTGCTCAGCGTTGGGCGGGGGATTCTGCTCATCAGCACCCCAGCAGAAAGGGTCAAACTCTGGTAACCGGTAATGGTTGTACCCCATGTGCAGAAGTACCGGGTACAGAGTGAATAGGGTGTGTATGGGGAGCATGAGTGGGTGTCCGGTGTGCATTTTTGTAAGTCTTGGGTTGTATGTGCATGTGTTAGCCAAGCCCGCACAATGCAAGTGAAAAATTGAGGCCAACGCAGAAGTGACAAAAATTGCCGTTCCACCCTCATCCGCTGGGGGCTGGTGTCAGAAGCGAGCAAATCCTCATTGACTCCCATGTTAAAAATATCAAATTCACAGCAGAAATAAACATGTTTACAGCCTGGTTCCAAACATGTTTTTGGTTTAAATGATCTAGTTTACACTCATGACAACTCTGAGGGAGGTGATTTTTTTCTCTCACTCTTCTGTTTAAGTGTATTAAAAGCCTAAAATTCTGTATAATTAATGATCATCAGACCCACGTGACCACAGAGCAAGCTCCGTGGGAAGGCCTCAGTAGAGCCTCGGCCTGGCTTGGAAACTGTTCCGGGATTGAGTCTCTGTGTTTGTGTATTCTTTTTTGGATATTTTTTGTGCAATTGTTGGACAAAATGACTTGCTGTGGCATTAATTGCGCTAATAGAGCGTCCAAGGAGTCTCCACTTCATTTTTTTCGGTAAGTAAAATTATATTTATGTATTTTAGGTCACTGCTGAGCTGAGCTTAGATTTTAACGTGTACTGTTTAACCATGAAATTTAAATGTAATAGGGTGAAACCCAGTGCATTTAACATAATGCTGCACTTTAGAAAATGGGTTGAAATATAACATGTTGGTGGAGCTGGGTTCCGACTATCGGCTTGTAGAGCTCTCGGAAGACCGATGTTTTCCACCTGGTTCTCCCCTCCCTGCAGCTCGGCACATCTCTGATCGCGGCTCCTGTCTGCTGCGCGGGCTGCCGGCTTGTGGAGCCCTGGGATGGAAACCTTTCCACCCGGTTCTCCCCAGCGGCAGCTCTGCGCATCTCAGATTGCAGCGGCGCTTGTCCGCTGTGCGGCTGCCGGCTTGTGGAGCTCTCGGGAGACCTCTGTGTTCCACTCGGTTTTACCCAGCGGTCAGCCCGGCGTATCTCTGATTCAGAAGCTCTGGTGTTGTGCACAGTTAACTCCGGTTGTAGCTAGGTTGCTACCTCCGTTAGCTTAGCTCCCACCTCCGTGTTAGCTTTGGGTTAGCTTCAGGTTAGCTTGTAGCTAGTTCGACCGGGAGTCATCAGTTGATCCCAGCCTTAAGCCTGGTTTATGCTTCTCCGTCAGGTCCGCAAGGGACAGACACGCACGGATTGACGAAAGCGTTTTGCTCTTTTACTTCTCCATCTACTGGGGAGTGTTGCAAAGCAATTGCAGAGGGTGTAGCGCTGTTCTGTGGTATCCTGTCATGTATCGGTCCAAGATAGTGTGTTTATATTGTGTTTTTTGTGTTTATAAGAGACTTTTAACATGGACATATTTGTCTTTCATTCTCCCACCTCTTCATGCGCTCCCCACCTCTAAACCCAAGTTTCCTGTCATTTCTGTCCACAAATAAAATGCTTGCTGTGCATCTTTTCACTCCTCCAGTCACGGGAGAATTAAACGTTCATATTTTTAGAGTTTTTTCGCGAGGTATTCTTCAAGCTTCTCCGTGTCTGCCGCTAGTTATCCTTGGCTCTCTTTGCAATGGCGGCGCTGTAAACAACAGCGGCGTCCTGACCAATCACAAGCTTGCGTAATCCGTCTCGTTCGACGGATGTTTAAAAAAGTAGGCTCGACTCCGTACGTAATTGCGTGCCCTACGCAAGGACGGATAATGGCGTTGCGTGTCTCCGCACTGACGCAGACGGAGAAGCATAAATCAGGCTTTACAGCCACACCCTCAGCTCCACCTCTCTTCCCTTTTGTGGAATTGTCTGGGCTTGACGGAACCTGTGACACGGTCAAAATGGCGGTGGTAGCCACCTCCCATTTTTCTTCAAAAACGTGTTATTGGAGTCCATGGAAACCCATTGTCCAATATTTATATGTCGATGGGTGAGCATAAGGGAGGGAGTGTGTGACTGTGTTTGTGAATGACTGTATATGTCAGGTCGGGCCTTTGACTCCTGTCTTCTCCTGGGACTTCTTTTGATGATATAGACCTTCATCTCCCCTCCCCCTGCCACACCTGGTGTGGAGTGTGGTGCCTTGGTCTGCCTGAGTGTTCATGGCTCCCGGGTCGGGGGTTTAAGATTTTTGGCGTCTGCCTGATCAATCCCGGTGGCGGCCTAGTGGGGTCTGGGTCCCTGGGCTCTGCTGGGTCCCCGGCGGGGCTGGTCGTCCCTGAGTTCCAGGTCGCTGGGTCCCAGGCTCGGCCGGCTACGGGGTGGGAGGCTGCGGGCGGGCCTGTGGGCTTCCCACTGATATCTCCCGGGACACTGCCGGCTGGTGGTTGTGGCCCCCCAGGGTGATCCTCTGTGCCTCTCGAGGGGGGCGGGGGGCCTTTCTGGTTGCAGTCTCCTTGGGGTTCCTGTGTTCTGGGGCAGCGCCTGGATCTCTCTAGTACATGTTTCACTTAGAGCAATATTATCAGGGCTATCTCTGTAGGCTATTGACACGTTATTTAACAAAATAAAGCTTTTATTCTTGTAACCAGGCTGCACAATGCATACAGATTTTTGTTTTAAATTTAAAACTTGCACCTAAAATTCAAACACATAAGCATTTTTGCATGTAGATTTTTTAATTATTTGGTTTGATGCCTTTTTTGCACATTTACCAACCTGTTTAACACATTGTATGAAAGAGAAACAAACACAAAGTCACATTAACGGACACTAAGAATTGCCCAACATCGCTGAGCATTGAAAAAGTGAAATGTAAACATATTTTTAATTATTATGGGTTTTCAAAATAACATTTTGGAAAAAGTATTCTTCTAACTATTATTATTACTACTATTATTATAGAAAGCAACTTGTGATTTCAGAGTCTTATTTGACCTTTTTACTGGCCAAATCAGTGATGGCCTACAAAGAACTTAAAACAACGAAAGAAACGAAAGCTACAGGGCTGCACAGCAGATCACGTGATATCTGAGTACCATCCACCACCACACCATTGCTGATCACGTCTTTATCAGACAAATGACAGGTTAATATCGCATCGGTTTAGCTCAGTGGTTTCTTCACTGCCTGAGACGTAGCTCTCTCTGCGCTCTCTGGGGTGCAGGGTTCAACCACGGGCGCTGTCCGGTGTTTTACTGGAAACTGCGACCCCACAAGGAGTATTTGACATCCAATGTTGTTTATTAACACTTGACCAGGAACACAAATATCAAGTCGTGGAAACGTGTAAATGTACCTTTAATTGAAGTCCTCTTGTTCTCCTCTGACATCAAGCTCTGTAACTTTGACAGTGGATGATTTGCATTAGTAATGGTTTATCGTGTCCTATTTAATAACGAGCTAATTCAGGATTTTATCCACTGTAAAACAACAATAAAACCCCGAACCACTATCGGTTTCTCTCATCTTTATAAAGCAGCTGCAAGGGATTTATATTTGCGTCGGTTTAGCTCAGTGGTTTCTTCAAAGAAAAGATTGTTTCTCTTCCGATCCCGTTTCGGCGGGGTTCAAATCACGGGCGCTGTCTGTTGCTTTTGCTTTTTTTTACATATTTGCTCTTTGTCAACAAGCAAGAAACTTAGAAAATACAATAAATTGCATGAGCTTGAACAACAGTTTGTAGAAACCTGGGTCACAGATTTTACCGTCAAAGGCTTCTGAGAAATGACAAACGAAGACCCAAGTGTTAAACATGAATCATGCATTCTCCACGTGTCTCCAGTAGGAGGCGCTATTTATTAGATCTCAGAATCAGGTCCACTTCATTTCCCAGGATGTCCAATTACATGTTTTATCAAATGAATTGTTGCATTTGGTCATCATTTTTCATGCGATACAGATACATAATCCCAGAGAACGAGAAGGCCCTAAACGTGCTTTTTCACCACTCAGACCCAGACAGTGCTTTACAGCAAATCAAGGGATGCTGGTGGGATATTTATCTCCCCACTCTCCTTTCTTAATCTAATACAATATATTTAGGAAATCACATGACCAGTATCCACATTTCCAAAAGGTCCTGCTAGTGACCACCACAGACATCAGTGATGCAGGATGTTATGACATCACAGCAGGGTCCTGCAGAGAGTTCACCACTTGAATTGGATGATATTTGTTGTGATATGGATGACAGACAGACAGAATGTCTGAATGTACAGAATGATCTACAGTAGTCTGTATGTTCCAGTTCACATCCAATATGTGCTGCAATGTTTTTATCCATTTGTGCACAGCTTTACCCTCAAGGTGTTAAGTTAGCTGTAAATATATTTGTTTACTTCTTTGGAAACAAAGTACAGTTGCAAAAATGAAAAAAGCAACAAACGTTCAGTGTCTTGTATTTATTTATCTCATGTGTAACTTAACTTTAAACGCAAAATGACAGAAAGTAGTAAATAATATGGAGCATTTTCAAGAAGTGGCATCAAGAGCTGATGTTTAAAGGATGACGTATTAAGATAATAAAAGCAGAACATAAATTGCCTCATAGTATTTACAATAAAGCTGCTGAGACAAGGTTCTCTGAGACATTTGATCAATAAATAAAGTCCAATGTTACACAAACGGGAATAAATCATAATGGTAATTTTATTGGAAACACAAAACATGACTTCTGTCAGATGGATGTGTCATTTGTTGATCTGACATTGCATTTTCTGCAGTTCTTTATTTAGTAAAAAATACATCCCGGTAGGTTTTAATTATGAAGGAAAATGAGATTTGTTGATGCCTCATGTATGATGCAGTAAACTACTCTTTAAACTCATGCAACTCTCCAGCCCAGGTAAAGACTGCACCGTGAGAGTTGTGTTAGTGGTAAGCTGAAGTGCAGAAAACAATCAAATGTCTTAATCACAGGAATATAGATAATAATCTTGATCTTATACTTAGAAGCTAGTTACCAAAGGGAGAAAAGTGTGCAGAGTTTGACTTAATGCAGGGTAAAATATTTGAAGAATGCATCAGAAATAGGAATATTGTATATATTAAGTAAAAAAAAACATGAGATTAGTGAGTTTTTCAGACACGGTGATTCAGGGACGTCTTAGGGGGATTTTTCTGTGGGCCACAGAAAAAAAGCCTCAGGAGCCAAAAGCATGAAGAATTTCTCTTTCAAGTTAAGGAAAGTGTTTCAATAGTGAGCATTAAAAACTACGTGTCCATGGCTGGAAACACTTCAACACAGCTCTCTGTAACACGAGCGCCATACCATCCTTTCCAAAATACACTATCTTTCCCACCATGAATAAATTGGATGTATCTCACTCCTGGTCCATAGTTCTTGAACACATGGGTCATCTATATAAAAAAAAAATTGAAAATAATTGTATTTTAAGCTTTATGTGCTTTGAAGCTCCAGCAAAGATCATACTTACTTGATGCCACTGATCACCAATCTGCTGGTCAAACTGTGGTAAGTACACAGCGTCAGGATTAAACTCCTGAAGAACCTCTTTCCTGTGATTCAGCAGCTGCACGGAGATTACATATTCACATCTGCACCGAGGTGCATACCTGAAAAAAAAAACAGAAACACTCAGATCTCTGAGCCTTTTTTATCCAAAATGAACGAGAAGAAACAGTCGAGTGGATTTTTCCTCACCAGTCAGATATTCTGATGGAAGGCTGGAACTCATCCATAAATGAAGGGCTGTAACCTTCCTTCTCCAATTCAATCATCTGTGACTTGATGCACATCCTGCAGAAAACAGAGCTTCAAAATAAGTAAACTATTTAAATGAACCATATAGTTATTAGTGCAAATGGTCTGGATTCCTGTTAGTAAATACTCACTGATAAGAGGTGGCAAAGTTCTTTTGAATGGCTTCATTTGGATGGGGCACAATAGGTCTCTCGATATTCCATCCATCTCCACCATTTGATAAATCCCAACCTAAAAAACCATCTAAGCAAAATAAATATTATTGTTTTCTTATTATTTATAAAAAACAATAACCACAATGCCCAACTTCCTGTGAGTTTCACAGCTTCTCACCTTCCCCTCTTGGATTCTTAAGAAGATTTCTTCTTCTCTTACACATAAAATAAAACAGCCTCCAGTTGCTGGGTGCTCTGGAGGCATCCTGGAGGTGATACCCCTCTCTTCTACACCTCTCCCTCCAGAAAAACTCCCCATCAGCCAAATCTTTCCATTGATGGCACACCAACCGAATCACACAAACAACCTGATTGGGAGGCAGATTTAGAAAGATTTCCACCAAGATGTCTGGAGGTAGAGGGAAGACCTAAATTTAATAAAAATAAAAAATAAAACATTAGCCAAAGGTTTGAAAATTCCTTTTTTTTAATTCGTGACCCAACTGATGCAAGGTTTACACAGCAGCTACAGTATACCGCATCATGATTAACCAAAATATGATTATGATTAAAGTTTATTTTGATAAACAGTTTTTAGATTTTGAACATTGGTCTATCTAGAGCAGTATGAGTTTCATACCAAAATTTACATCAGAATAGGCTGCAGCTAGTGCTAAGCCATGCCTATTCCTGATTACCTGTAGGTATAAAGAATAAAACAATTAACAAAATAAATGATCTATAATGAATGTAAGAAGATATTAAAACAAACAAATAGGATGTTCTAAATTAACCAAAGCTTAGCTTTAGATGAAAGATAGTATAATACAACTAGTCATGAAAATCATGTGACTTGTTGATATTAAACATCAGAGCAGGACGTTCAAAACTATATTATACAACAACATTAGGATAAAAAAAATGTATTAAGAAATTAAAATAATAAAAGGGAAACGTATCAGGGAATGAGATAAACTTTATAGGCAAATAATCAAATTCTAATAGAAAATATATGTAAATATGATCAAAGGCAGCTAGAACCCATTTTAAAGCTGTTTCCTTTGTGTTTTCAGTAATGAAAGTGAATTTGCAGCAGATCTAAGGAATGGTAGCCTATGGGACTAGACCAAATTCTTACTTTGCAAAGTTTGTGAATACATATGTGAATATGTAGTCTGACTTGAGGAATGGGGAGTCCCCTAATGACGTCACTTAGCAGGACTTCTCCCTGAAATGTAATTTGGAATCGTATGATGTCCAAGGAAGATCCCGCCTTTCTCGCCTCTGATTGGCCATAGGGGCTCTACTACGATTGGCTATTTCATGTAACAGCAGTCTTTCCCTAGTGCAGACTGTTCTGCCACCAACAGAACAACTGTTTTGAGGATGTGTGTAAAGATTATGTGAACTTAGCGCTCAAGCATTCAGGTTATCTTATTAAAGCAGAGTAAATATGATAAACATATGTGTGCCTTACCTCGTATGAAATACGATAAAACGGCACTATTTTGCCCAGCTGTGTGCAGCAGGTTTGTTTTTCTTCTAGAATAATGAAAAATGGCGACAAATAGGTCTAAAACATAATCAGCTATTAATTAAATTTGGATTAAATAACACACATGTAAACAGACGATGAGAGATGTGCTCTAACTTGTCAACAGCCTTAACCTATTAAAGTGAAGACAGCCTAATAATTAAGTAATAAGATAACACCAATAGAGCCAAGATAGTCAGTCTAACAGAGTGATAAAATGCAACAAGATTTGTTACAAGCTCACATTTGACGTTTTCAGATTCTTTTATAAAAGACACTGACACTGGTTTGTTGCAAAACAGGACAGACTGGTTATTATAGCGCAGCCTGACCAGCCAGCCCCATGCTTCCTTATGGGAAGCAATGGTTGTGGGAACTATTCATATAGCCCCACCACTGAGAATTCTAACCAAGCTAATCAGCGCTGAGCAGCGTACGTCACACTTCACGATGCTGGGTTTCTCATAATGGTAAATGGAAAATGGCGTTTTGTATAGCGCCTTCTTAGGGTTCTACAACCCCCAAAGGCACTTTACAACACAATCAGTCATTCACCCATTCACACACTGGTGGGGATGAGCTACGATGTAGCCACAGCTGCCCTGGGGCCCACTGACAGAGGCGAGGCTGCCGAGCACTGGCGCCACTGGTCCCTCTGACCACCACGAGCAGGCAAGGTGGGTTAAGTGTCTTGCTCAAGGACACAACAGCGGCATTCACTGGTCGGAGCCAGGATCGAACCTGCAACCTTCTGATTACTGGACAACCTGCTATACCCCCTGAGCTACTGCTGTCCCCTCCTCATAAACATGTGCTGTGGCTCTTTCGTCTGTTCTAAATGACTTGGATTGTCTAAAACCACAACAAGTAGAAGCGCTAAAAGCCTTTCTTCTAAAGAAAGATGTTTGCGCTGTGGCCAGACGCCATTTTTGACTTCAGCTAAAAGAACAACAGCATTTGCGGTACAGTCGGCATTTCCACCTTTTTCCCGCCCCTCATGTGACTCTCTGTGCATAAGCAGACCAGTTCTCTGTGTAGACAGAGGACGAGTCTGGCAGGCCAGGCCTGGCTAATTATGGCGATGATGAGTTCCTTTATTCTTCAAAAAACTCCTCAAGATCTGCTGTAAACATAATCGGTCCTTGTCAGGTGACCTTTCGGGTGCTGTAGTGCGGTGCATGATGGGATAGCCAGGTGTATAAACAAAGTTGCTTTGCGTGTTGTGAGCTTATTAATCTACAGAAAACAGTACACTGAAGGGCTGTCATGCTATCTTCACACAAAGGCAAAAAAGTAAAATGTAGGCTGAGATCGCGTTGATGGGAAATTTTCCGGTTTTGACCTTTTTTTTTTTTTTTTTTACAGAGAAATCTCAAGGCTGTTGATCATTCTCGCAGACTGGAATTACCCCGGCGTAGCCCAGCAGCAGAACCAGAACACAGCAGGTAAAATAAGAAATTGTTTATCATTAATATGTTGCTGCTGGACACGCTGGTCAGACAGGAGGAAACGATCATGATTGTTTTTTTAACTGTCGGTCAGAATGAAAACGAACGTGTCTGGCGTGACCTTTGATGTAGGTATTGTTCATGCACTTGTTTGTAACTCATATTGATAATAACTTGTTTAATTAAGGCTCGTCCAGAAATGTAAACCTGGCTCAGCGCCTGTGTTAGTGCAGTAATGTTTTTGGATGTCTACTTTTTACTTTTGCTTGGTTGAAGGAAAGCTACTCTTGCTCATGTGATATATTTTCGGCCTTAATGAAACGTCTGAGTTCCATGTTTCCCTTGAGGTCGTGGGGATCTACATCGTTGATTGTGGATAATTTCTAAAAATACTGATCTATATCCTCCTTCAGAAGTTTATTCCTGTAAGGGATGCATGCGTTCATCCTTCCTTTCATCCATCCTTCTGATTATTGTGCTGCTTCAACTTCTGCAGGAGTCATACACCTAAAATGGCGCCGGGGGGGGGGGGGGGGGGGGGGGGGTAGTTGACATGAAGGTCACGTGTCTGACAAGAACTGATTTCCTCTTACATAGAAAAGCCAATAGTAGGAGAGCCCTTCCAGCCAATCAGAGAAGAGAAAAACTAAACCTTCCTTGGACATTCTACGATTCCAAATGACGACTCCCGGAATCAACGAGACGTTTTTCAAAATAAACTAACATTTTACCGGCGGCAC